GGCGGGGTGGAAGCGGCGAACAACTGGGTCGAGGAAGCCGAGGAGGGGCGGGGGGTGGATCTTGCGGAAGCGCCGGAGGAAGGAGCGGTCGGTGATGAGGCGGCGGAAGGAGACGCAGGCGGCGGAGGCGCGGATGAGGTCTTCTGGGGTGGGGAGGCGGAGGAGGACGTCCACTAGTAGCTCGTCGGGGATCGCCAGCGAGGCCATCTTCCGGCCGCCGTCCGGCGGCGGCGGCGGCGTGTGTGTGGGTCTGTGGGAGTTCGCACGATGCAGCGTGTGCTGTTGGGGAAGTAAGCCCACGGTACACATGGGCTGCAGAATACGGGCCGAGAACTCAAGTGAATAAGTTAAGTTTAGTACTCGTAAAAAAAAGAGTTAAGTTTAGTTGTCTAAAAAAAAGTGTCCCGGTCGATTCTTTCAATCTTTCCTAGGGTTTACCTCCTCTCAACGGCGACGGCCGTCGTTGAGTGTTTGCTTCCTTCCTGTTGTGCCTCGCCGTGGAATCCACTCGGGTTGACCAAGGGACAGTCCTTGCATTGTTCCCCGGCCTTGGTGGTCCGCCGGAGGGGTCGTTGGGTTCGGGTCCTCTCACAGCCCAAAGTTTCTTCTCGGGCTAGGGTTTCAAGGATGGCAGTGGATGAATCGATCTCGACGGGGGTGCCCCGCAAGGTTGATCCAGGGAAGCAAATTTCAGATGGGGTTGGAACCTCTGCGACGGATGGTATTAACAGCAAGCACACAACTGTTGTTGGGAGTGTTTCTTTAGTTGCAATTCTGCTTGTATTCAGCGGAGACACAGAGGAAGGCATGCTTGCGCTTCCATCACCTGATGTACCACATCCCAAGAGATCAAGGACCAGTTTAGTTAGAAAGGAAGGCAATGTTATAGTGGCAAAAACACATCTGGCGGGCTCCCTAGAGGGGCGCCGCCAAGCCCATTGAGTGCACTCTATTGGAACTGCCGCGGCAGTTCGAGAAATTCGTGAGTTCGCGAATAAATTTTCCCCTACCCTTTTTATGCATCGTTGAAACTCGGATAAAAGGCTCAAGGGTAGAGGCATTAGCAAGTACTTTTGGTTATGATGATGGTTTTGCAATTGATATTAGAGGCGGAAGTGGTGACATTGGTGTATTCTAGAATAATGAAACAAAAGTTGATTTTCTTGGTTACTTGGAATATCATATCGATTGCTCAGTATTGGAAGAGGGTCAGGACCCGTGGAGGTGCACTGTTGTATATAGAGAGGCCCAGACCGATCTCAGACATCAAACTTGGGACACCCAGAAGAACATCAGTACCACTAGCAACCTTCCGTGTGGATGTGTTTAGGGGGGGGGGGATATCTGGTACTCCCACCCCTACGGTGCTCCCGGTGCTCCAAAACTCGGTAGCACATTTTTGTATCTCGAGCAATGTTTTGAATTTTGATTTATTTTTTTTGACAATATACTTTGATGTTGTGTCAATGTGCTGGATTTTTTTCAGAATTTTCCGAACATTTAAAAATGTGCTGCCGGGTTTGGAGCACCGGGAGCACCCTAGGGGTGGGAGTACCGGATATTTACCCGTGTTTAGGGGATTTCAATGAGGTTCTGCGCCCCGAAGAGCAGGAGGGCGTAGGAGAGAGGAGTAACGCTCAGCCTCAGGCTTTCTGTGACGCCATTGATGTTTGTATGTTACTTGACGTCGGATATATTGGCAGGTTTTGGACCTTCGAGAAGAAAGTAACAGGGGGAACGTATAACAGGGTGCATCTTGATCGAGCCCTTGCAAATGCAGATTGGCGAGCAAGATTTCCCCTAGTGGACCTAACCCATTTGACAGCGGCCACATCAGATCATTGTCCAATACTATTGAGTCTGAACAGAGAACACCCGAGATGCCAGAACCCTGGAAATTTTTGGTACGAAGTGATGCGGGAAGGCCATGAGACATGGCGAGACAACATCACTACACCGTGGACAGGGGGAGAACTATGCAGCAGGGCGAACCAGCTCGGAACAAAACTGCAGGCGATCTCACATGATCTTGGAAGGTGGAACACAAACACCTTTGGAAATGTCCGAAAAGAATTAAAAAAGATTGAACAAAGAATTGGAGAAGCTAAGGTCTGATCCGAGCCGGATAGCACCATCACATGTTGAACTAAAGATTAATGAAAAGCTTGTGGAGAGGTATCATCGAGAGGAGCTACTATGGAGGCAGAGGTCCAGGATTGATTGGCTAACCTCGAGGGACAAGAATACTAAATTCTTCCACCTGAGAGCTGGCATCCGCCGAAAGAAAATTTTTGATAAAGGCATTACAAAATTTGCTAGGGGTAATGACTAATGATCCCGAGCAGTTGAAGGGACTAGTACACGATTCTTATAAAACTCTATACACTAGTGAGGGGGTCAGCAATATGGAGGCAGTCCTTGAAATAGTACCAACCAAGGTCTCCGCCGAGATGAACAAGGTGTCGGTGGCTCCTTACACAGCCGAGGAGGTAAAGAGTGCACTTTTTCAAATGTTTCCTACCAAGTCTCCCGGTTTGGATGGCTTTCCGGCTCACTTCTACCAGCGCCATTGGGATCTTTGTGCCCCCGAGGTGACTAAGGCGGTACTAAGGATTGTCAGATGAGAGGACAGTGTAGAGTGCATTAACGACACGGTTTTGGTGATGATCCCTAATAAGGTAATGAACTCGTCTTTATTGTCCCAATTTAGACCCATAAGTTTATGTAATGTGCTATACAAGATTGCATCCAAAGTTGTGGCAAACAAGCTGAAGCAGATTCTATCTGACATCATCTCAGAGGAGCAGTCTGCTTTTGTCCCCGGAGATTGATAACTGACAACATAATTAGCGTATATAAATGCTTCCTTTTATGAAACGCAGCAGAGCAAAGGTGAACAGTTACAGTGCACTTAAGCTCGATATGGTGAAGGCATATGATCGCCTTGAGTGGGACTATCTTCAGGCCATGTTGTTGAAGTTGGGTTTCACACCATCGTGGGTACAAATTTTGATGAACATGGCGCAGTCAGTTTCGTTCTCGGTGCTCATTAATGGTGAGAGGCTTGATCAATTCACACCTAGCAAAGGCATCCGGCAGGGAGATCCGATATCCCCTCATATCTTCTTAATTGCAGCAGAGGGCCTTTTCGTGCCTCATGAAATCCAGTTCTTCGGCATCTCAGTTGGGGGTATCAAGGTGGCTCCAACGGCCCGGCCGTCAACCACCTACTCTTCGATGATGACAACCTGCTGCTTTTTAAGGCGAACATTGAAGGGGCTAATGCAGTTTCAAACCTACTGGAGAGCTATTGCTTGGCATCAGGTCAGCACATAAACTGTGACAAGTCTTCTACTCCATTATTTAGTCGTGGTTGCCCACGGGCCACTAGAGATAATGTCAAGAATATTTTGAACGTTCAAAATGAATCTCTCAGTGATAGATATCTTGGCATGCCAACTGAGGTCGGTCACTTGAAGAATGGGACTTTTAAGTACCTATGAGATCGTGTATGGGAGAAGGCTAGGGGATGGATGGAGAAGCTTTTATCTGCTGCGGGAAAGGAGGTATTGATCAAATCTGTAGTGCAGGTAATACCGGTGTTCTCCATGTCATGTTTCCGGCTCCCTCGAGGGCTTTGTGAGAGTGTGACTTCTCTGATCAGGCAGTTTTGGTGGGGCAGCAAGCAAGGCAAACGTAAAATCGTGTTGGGTAGCATGGGATGTTATGACGAAGCCCAAACACTTGGGTGGGCTTGGCTTCCGCAACCTGGAACTCTTTAACCTAGCATTGCTGGCAAGGCAGTCGTGGCGGATCCTTCAAAATCCATCATCCTTGAGCACTAGGATTTTAAAGTCCGTTTACTTCCCGGAACAAACATTATTTAAAGCCACTTTGGGCCCTCATCTTTCCCAGATTTGGAGGTCTATTCTTGATGGCAGAGATATAATGGTACATGGTCTTGTTAAGAGAATAACCAATGGAGAAACAACTAATATTTGGTCTGAGAATTGGATTCCCAGGGAAAATATGAAGCGGCCACCGACATCACTCATGCGTGCGCCTCCAAGTAAGGTGTCCGAGCTGATTAATAGCACAACCTCATCTTGGAACGAGCAACTAGTGCGATCAGTTTTCATCCGTATAGATGCAGAAGCGATCTTGGCTATTCCTCTCTGTACTAGGCAAGTGGAGGACTTTTGGGCATGGAGTGAAGATAGAAGGGGAATCTTTACTGTCAGGTCAGCATATAAGATGATCCAGCGAGTCAAACTCAGCAGGGAGGCGTGGTTAGATGGAGAGGAGGGTTCGCCTCACTCTGATTTGGACAGCATGGGATGGACAAAACTATGGGGGATCAAGGTCCCATCAAAGTTGAAAAACTTTCTTTGGAGATTGGCACAACACTCTATACCTACAGCGGCTCTGCGTTACCCTTTGGGCGCTGTGGGGAGTTCGTCGAAAGGCAATTCACGAGCAAATTTATCAGTGTCCTTTCTCCATTCATGGCTTTGTCCAGTCTTATTTATCCGAACTGAAATCCATCGAGAAGAAGTCAGTACAACAAGTTAACCCATGATGGACTCAACAACTACCTTGGATCGCACCACCTGCAGGTATGGCAAAACTAAACGTTGATGCAGCCGTAGGGAGAG